GTGTGTATCTGCTGGAGAAAAGTATGAGGCAATTTGATTGAAACATATAAAATCCTGAAGTATCTTGACAACGTAGATGTGGGAAGAATGTTTCCTCGTCTGGGAGAATATAGAGCTAGAAGTCCATACGTAAAAGTCAGGGATCACTGTTTGAAACAGAGATTAGGTAATTTTCTTTTCTCTGAGTACCATGAGTCTTTGGAACTCTCTTCTTGAAAAGATGATCAAAGATGAGTCCTTGAATATTCTTAAGGCAGAGATGGATAGGTATTTATTAAGCAAGGAGGTGAAAGGTAATCAGATGTAGACAGGAATATGAATTTGAAGTTACAACAGATCAACACTGGTTTTATTGAATAGCAGACGTGGCTAAATGGGGCTGAATAGCCCATTCCTTCTCCTGATTTGTTTCTCTTATGCAAAATTGGACGGGGAATTGGTTGGCCTATTGGCGAGATGGCTGTTTTGCGATGTTGAGTGATGCCAACAGCATGGATTTAATTCCTCCACCAGCTGAGGTTAGCATGAAGATTTCTCCCATTGCCTCAGCAGCAGTGACCCTCAGTTTAAGCCACCACTAGTCATCTCTCTGTAAGAGAGAGCAGTCCTCTGGTCCATTGGACTGTAGTGAGTTTACCTTTATGTAAAATTGGAAACAACCCTGATAGTCAAGAATGGACAAACTTCCATTGCACACGTTCAAAGATTTCTCAATGTTATAACCAATGTTTAAGGTACCACAGAAAACAATCATCTTTCTAGTCTTCAAATTTTGTCAAGCATTTTAGAAACAATATTATCTTCACTGGAAACTGCTGCATACTTAATGCTTTTTAATCACAAAGTGTATGTCAAATTAAAAACTGAATAATTTCCCTGATTCCAGATTCTCACATAATGATTAAATGAGTTGAAAATTAAGTTATAAAGGCAAGAATAAAATTGATTTGTGTAGGTTTTGTTTTTCCTTGGGTCAGATCATTTATGCTAATTAATGCAGTGTTAAATTCAGGCATATTGTAATGAGATTGACAGAATACTGAAAGCATAACTTGACATAAGCAAAATAAGCACAACATTGTATGAGATATAGAGATGTACAGCACAGAAAAATGTCTTTCACCCAATCATGTCCATGCCAGTCAAAAACAACCACCTAATTGAGCACTTTGGGATGTAACTTCCAACTAAAGGAAAAAACTCTCAGCCTCTGTGGCTATAGTTAATTAACAGTGTAATAAAGTAAAGGGTCATGTGACTATGCTGTGACTTTAGTAACGTGATTCTGTCCTGGTGATTTTTTTTTGAAGAGAGGTTGTAAAGGCAGAGGTTAGGAACTGGCTACTGGAGACAGCATCAGTCAACAATTTAGGAGGCTTTTAGGTCTTTTTTAAAACAGTTGTAACAATGGAAGAGGAGTGGCCAGTTCTCACAGATCAGTCTTTTTAGTTTCTTTAGCTGTAGCAGTCAGAAGCTGTCTGGGTCCCAGAAGGGTTGGAATCTTCAGTAAATATTTCCTAACTGCTATATGCTCTGAAACTTCTCCTGATGTTGTTTCGTCCTTGATTGGAGAACTGCATGTAAGAGTCTGCGTCTGAATTTACCTTTTTGCCAAGGGGTGTGTTTATGGGATGTTACTATATTGGAACAGTTAATTAGTACTAGGTACTGTATCTATTATTTGGTTAGGTTTTCCAATAGTTAAGTTATTCTAAATTCCTATTTCTTTTGTTTGTATTTTAACTACAGTATTTAAATAAATTGTATTCTGCTTAATGTTGAGTAGTTTGACCAGTCGCATCACATCTGGAACTTGCATTTCACATCTACCTTTCAAATACAAAAAAGTTAGGGCCTAGGGTACCTTCTTAAAATATGTTGAGGGAGTCTGGTCTGATCCATAACAGACTCTACTAAGCTGCACTGAAGAATTTGTACATTGAAAAGGAAGGTATGGTTAATACTCTTAAAAGGAAAACAGAGGTGTGAGCTGTGAGGTGCTGTCAGAGTTGCTGTACGTAGCATTGGTTGGGTCCATTCCCCGATCCTGCACCAGAGCAACAACCCAAGCTATCTTCTACTTTATCTACTTCAACTCTGTAACACTATCTGCCAGAGCAAGTGGTGGGCGTGGGTACAATTACAACATTTAAAAGGCATCCGGATGGGCACATGAATAGGAAGAGCTTAGTGTGATATTGGCCAAATGCTGGCCAATGGGATTAGATTGGAGATAGTAGGAACTGCAGATGCTGGAGAATCCGAGACAACAAGGTGCAGGGCTGGATGAACACAACAGGCCAAGCAGCATCATAGGAGCAGAGAGGCTTAGATTGATTGGAGATATCTGATCTGTGTGGAGGAGTTAGACCGGAAGGTCTGTTTCCATGCTGTACATCTCTATGACAATCTGAAGGCTAAGGATGGACTATATCTGGAAGAGACACCATGCACAAAGCCCAAATAAAGGCAGAAAAAAACGTCCCCAAACATATTGTGCTCACTTTGATAACCATCTTTGTGTACGGCTACATCAAGTGTCACTATGTGCTTGTTGCAAAGGATGGGTCAGATCATGTTGCTGCAGAATGTTCCATGTAGTTGTGGCATTCTGCACCACCCATTCCTCATGGAAAAGATGGTAAAGAAAAAAATCTTTAACCACAAGTCCATCAGTGGTCAGCACAAAGCAGCCTGCAGGGAAAGGAGATGGTAGATACTGTCAGACCTTCAGGAGCAGACTTTCAAAGGCATTTGACAGATGACTCATTGCTACAATTTTCAAACCAGCAGCAAGATATACCTTGGTTAGTGGTCAGAAGAGCCCTCATCTTGAAATCATTAATGTATACTTAGACTTTCTGCACTGATACACACTTTTCTCAAGCAGCTGTGCAGGTGAGGAGACTTCTGTACTTCCCCTTCTGCAATCTGCCTTTGTAAAGAAGCTTTGAGAGGGAAATGCACTGATTTTTGTCAAGATTCATCTTGAGCAGCTCCGTGATATAGAATTCTGTATTTGATGGACTGTTGTCAGGGACGCACAACAAGATAAACATTGATTGTGCCTGAAGGACCATCAACTCATTGAAAGATGCTCTTTGGCCTACCCAAAACTTGTTGGTCAACCAGTGCAAAGACTGTCCTTCACCTAGTTTTGCAGACTGGCACATTTCAACATCCAGGATCATCTGCTAAGGGATCAATCAAATCTTTTGAGGCAGCTCCTATGGGAACGATCACTGCCTAAGGCCTTTCATTGTTTAACAAGGGGCTGGTAACTTATACAACTCCTTGGGTGGTAAACTTGTCATTGAATGCATTTGACACAGGATTGAGGCAGCAGTCTGGTAAGAATGAATTCCTTATTGAAGTATCTGTAATATGACAGCCTGCAGTATGAGCTGCACGATAGATGTCACATGATTACAGCAGACCAGGAAGGACTTGTGCACATATTGTATTTCAATGTAAACACCTCTCTTTCCATAAAGTGGCTAGGTACCTCCTCAAATTTCCGTGTTAGAATTCTGAGCATCTTGTTTCATTGTGTCAGGTGATAGGATAGGAGATTGCATTTTAATGAGATAAATTGTGCAGTTATTTAGGCTAACAATAAGCTATAAGCTCCCTTAATAGGCATCTCACTGCTACTGAGTAGGAATCTTGTTTTGGGACTCAGATGTCTGTTGGAGAATGCAACTATTTGCTTCCAACATCAAGAAAGGCCTTGCTGGACTTCTCACATAATTCTTCCAGATTTCTCACCGTAGCCCACATCATTGAGGGCCTGGTAAATTTCTGCCCTTTGTCTCTTCTAAATAGGTATTGGTGAAAAATATTCACAAGTTCAGACAATGGTCAGACACTCTTCCTCAAACTGAGCATAATGTTGTTCCATTTGTGATAACAGCCCAGATACAAATGCAGTTGACCTTCCTACGTTAGCGTTGCTTTGAGTCCTGTCTCACTGGCATTTATGTCATATCTCAGCGCTGGGACTTCCATCACTGGTTGCTTGATTTTAATGGATGATGCTTCTTGTTCCATGTTCCAACAACACCGCACATCCTCCACCAAGAGTTAGAGTAATGGTTGACACTCTAATAAAAAATTAGGCAAGATTTTACCAAATACTTGACAAATCCAACAAATCATTGCATTTCTTTTACATTTCTTGGTTGTTGCATCCTTGCTATAGTTCTCACCGTTCTGAGATCCAGGATAAGACCTTTCAATGTCAGTACATGGCCTTTGCACTTGACTTCAGGTAAGGATAATATTTGCCTGGAAGATATCCTAACCCTGTAAATGCATTGTTACACTCCTCCATGGATCTGTTCCATGCTCAGTGGTTTAACAGGCTGCAATATGTCACAATTATCTTTTGACATTTTGAGAGTTACCAGTCCAAGCTGTAGACTTGCTCCAGCTGAAGTAAGTGGTTTCTGCTTGCCAGCTATGACGCGGAATCCTAGATTTTCATTCATTTTATGGCACTGGACTCATAGAAGCATCTGTTCTCTTGGCATGGATATGGTGATATCATATAGCCTCAAGCTTACTTTCAAAAGCTTCATTTTTTTGGATTGCCATGTTAGGCCACTTTGTACAGGTTTGAGAAGGACATGAAATTGATGTTGCATTGGTATCCATCTGACACATTATGTTGATTTGATGTTTTCTTTCTGCAGTCCTCAACTAGTTATCAACTATCGAACTGACTGAACAAACTTGTATGGTGGAAGACACATACAACTTCCAATTTCCTTCAAAACTAACTGTGCTTTCAATTACAACATTTCATTATCATGTTAATTTGGTTTTCTTCAGTCCCATCAACAATACACTGCAAATGTACACTGTCATCTGACATGGGCCAAATTTTAAACAGAAATATCCTCAGCAAACACATGCACAATTGGAAAACTGTCAGAAACAAATATGAACTAAACTGAAGTATTTTCAATATAGTATTTTATTAAGGAAAATGTAAATTTCACTGTAAAAAGTTGCAGGGATATTCACTCTAGTGACCATTCATAATGAAATGAAGGTAAGTGAAATCACAATCAAAAATAGAATACTGCGGATGCTGGAAACCTGAAATAAAAACGGAAACAGAAATATTTTCTGAGTTGAATTAATGTTGCTGACAAGCTGATATCATTATTGTACTTTAATAAAGAATAAGCCATGCAAAATCTTCAAGTTCATTTATCAAACTACTTTGAAATAGTCTATTAACATATTCATGCTGTGCCTACATACTGATCTGTTGCCATTTCACCAGTAATATGCATTTTATTTTACATTCATAATCCAAGAATATGACTTTTCTGCTATGCTGGAGTCCTTGTTCATAATAATACATGCCTTCATTCAATAGGCCTGCTTATCTTATACAAGGCTGCTGTACAAAAGGTTGTCCCAAGGGAACAAGATTAGAATCTAACGTCCTGACATACAAACATAAACTCAGTAAATCAAAGACATTGCTTTTAAAATGGATTCTTAAATTGCAGCCGAGGAACATTAATAAGGCAAAACAGTTTTCAAAATGCAAAAGCAATAAGGCTTCAGTTTAATACAAAGTTGCTAACTGTTTTATATGCAGTCCATTTAAGTAATGGATTTGACTAATCTAGAATGTAAACATGAGGGAAGCCAACATATATCAATATTGCCTCACAATTTCCTATTGAGAAGATGTGCACTTATGAAGAAGTTTTCTTTAAATCAGACTTTCTGATGCTTAGTACCCAGAGCCTGACTTTCTCCCCCTGTAAATGGTTTAGAATGCTGAACACAGTTTAGAATGTTCATCACAATGTCAGTTTGTGCTTAAACACACACCACTGACACCTCACTCAGAGATAGTAAGAACTGCCGATGCTGGAGTCAGAGATAACACAGTGTGGAGCTGGAGGAGCACAGCAGGCCAGGCAGCTGAGGAGCAGGAAAGTTGACGTTTCGGGTCGGGACCCTTCTTCAGAAATGGGGCTTTCTGAAGAAGGGTCCCAAGCCAAAACATCAGCTTTCCTGCTCCTCTGATGCTGCCTGGCCTGCTATGTTCCTCCAGCTCCACACGGTTACCACTGACACCTCACTCCCCCTCATCCTGTATATATTGTGGGAACCCAGAAAACCCTTGGCCACATACAACAGCGCTGGCTCTTTGAGGAGCCCTGAGACCAGCAATCGATTCAGAGTTGAAGGAGTTGATGCAGAGGCCACTTCAACAAAATTGGTAGGTCCCTGCACAATCCCATTAAATACCATGGTGACAAAAGTCTCATTGTGCAGGGAATTTCTTCCACAACAGGGTCCTCACAGACTCAGTTACTCAGAGGACAACTGTCAAAGTCAGCTGCAGCAAAGTGGTAATTGGATCAATGGCCAATCTCCCTATAAAGGTGGAGTACCATACCATACTACATGGAAGAGGTACAGCAAAACCTCACATTTTTTGTTCCCATGGGCATATTTAAATTGTTTCCCTATCAATGAATAATGGGGATTTTGTAAATAAATAGGCATCATGCCTTGTTTATGTCTGTGTGGATAAAACGTAGGGAGTGAAATCCACAAAGAGTGCAAGATGGAGATGTTTCAAAATGAAATCAGGATAATGGACACCATGGGAACAGTGGTGAGCAAACTTGGGGAAACTATTTTCCTGGTGAAGCGAGAAAGATAACTGGATTGCAGATTGTGCAGAGGTTGAGATTGTGTGACCTACCTCAGTGTGGAAAACTCCTTAATGGTCTTCATTTTCTGTGGGCCTGGCATTTTTCATAAAGTCATCCAGGCATAGAGAGATCTACAGCACAGAAATAGGTCGTTCAGCCCATTGCACCCATACCAGTCAAAAACAACCACTCAACTCTTCTAATTCCATTGTCCAGCACTTGGTCCATAGCTTTGTAAGTCTTGGCATCGAAAGTATACATCTAAGCACTTCTTAAATGTTATGAGGATTTCTGCATCTACCACTCTGTGGCATCAGCAATGTTGGAAATATTATAGTTGTATCCCACACACAAATCATTAATATAGATTGTGAACATTTGCGGACTTAGCAGTAATCCTTACAGTACTCCACTAGTAACAACCTGCCATCCTGAAAACTATACATTTATTCCTATTTTATGCCTTATGCTTGTGAATCATTTCTCAAACCGTACTGGTATATTCATTTCGCCTTTTTGTTTTCTTGTCATGACTTTCTCTTTCCTCTGTCAAGACAATCTAAGTTCTGCCTAACCAATTTTAGTTATTATTTGGTTGATGAGCCATGAGATTCACTGTACTGGTGTAGCTAGGTAATATGGCAATTGTTTGATCACATATTGATGTTAAAAAGAGTTGTCGTTAGGAATTTTATACTTCATTGTCCACTTGCAATGCATAACAAGTGAACATCCTTGAGGTTCAAGGGTCAAAAGCAATTTCCATATCAATATATTAATCCATATGCTTTAATTTACTGACCGTCTGTGTGAGAGTTTATCAAAAGCCTTCTGAAAATCAAAATGCACAACGTCCACTGATTTTCCTTTGCCACAAGTAAAATCCTCAATAAATTTCAGCAAGTTTGTCACATGTGATTTCCCCTGCATGATGGGTGACACAGTGACTCACTGGTTAGCACTGCTGCCTTTTAGCACCAGGGACCCAGGTTCAATTCCAGCCTCAGCCTGTGTGGAGTTCGCACATTCTCCCTGTGAATTTCCTCTGGTTTTCTTCCACAATACAAAGATGTGCAGATTAGGTGGATTGATCATGCTAAATTGCCTATTGTGTCCAGGGATGTGTAGGTTAGGTGGATTAGCCATGGGAAACATTGAGCAGGGAGGGTGAGTCTGGGTGGGATACTCTTTGGAGAGTTGGTGTGGACTTGTTGGACTGAATAGTCTGTTTCCATGTTGTCAGGATTCTATGAAATGCTGGTTGGCTCTGTCCAATTTTATTATGATGTTCTAAATGTTCAGTTATCACATCTTTAATAATAGATTCCAACACTTTCCCTCTTATAGACATGAAGTTAACAGCTGTAGTTTTCTGCTCTTCCTTTTCATCAATTTTTAATAGTGAAGTTACATTTGCTACCTTATTGTTCGCATTAATATTTCCAGATTGTATAGAAACAATAATCTCCAATGCATCCACCAACTCTACAGCTACTTCCTTCACTCTAGGATGAAGCTCTGCTGGTCAGGGAATTAATCATCAATCCAGCTAATTTTTCAAATACTATCTCTTTACTACTACTAATTTCATTTAGCTCGTCAGTTAAATCTGTTTCTTGGCCCCTAGAATTTCTGGGAGATTTTCTGCATCTTCTTCCTTGAAGACTGATGCAAGTTTAGTCTCTCTGCCATTTCCCTGTTCTCCATGATAAATTCTCCCCTCCCCACCTTGTCCTTTCTTAGATTTCGTGCCTATCTGATGATTCAATGTAATTAATTATATGTACAATATTCTGCCAATCTTTTTAAAAAGTACAATATTTAACATGATTAAATTGAACAAACAAAGGTTTGTGTAAATCTGCAGATTCGCCTGAACAGTTTTCATTTTCACTAACACTAGTTTCAACATTTAGACATTCATGCATGCACACTGCATTTTAGCTTCACCCAATTTAAAGCAATTTGCACTTAGTAGTTTGGTTTGTCATGCAAAAAACATTCCGAACAATAAAATTCTACAGTTTTAACAAGTTTTTTTAAACAAACATGCTTTGTGGGATTCCCAACTGCTTATTATCATTGTTTTGACACTTACTAAATCCAAACATCACAACTTTCTCACACATTATGAAGACTGGTAATGAACTCAGTTTTTATTGAAAACAAAATCAAAATCTCTTATTGGTTCAGTTACTGAAGAGCTTTCCCCTGTATACATGGCTGTTCCACTCTATGAAATTAGATTATTAACACTATACAATTAAATGAATTACACAGTTCATTGATTTCAGGACTGAATCCTTCAGCTCATTTCTGAGGTTCATTATGATAGACAACTGTCATTAGTTTGATCACGTATTTCCAAAAACATATATGATGTCCCGTAACGCAACTTAATGTGTTGAGTTTTCTCCCAAAAACAGTGGAAATGTAAGAAGGTATGTGTCTTCATTTGAGATGAACAAAGAACAGGGTGTAGTAATTGATATCTTGGCACCAGATGCTTTGGTAAAGATGCAGATGTAAAAGTTTAATCTGACGCCAAAGGAGATAGTAAAGCTGGTTGAAGGGTTGAGTATAAGAGATGGTGGCTCTTAAAAGACTGTGATATGAAGAAAATACATTTTGACGAATTGAAAGAATTTTGTCCAGTGATTTTTTTCACGTCAGTAACGTTTGAGTTTCTGTAAAGCTTTAATCCATTCAATATTTAATGCAGTTCCAACATATCTCATTCCTCCAATACAGATTACATGTCCATGCTTACCCCTTCCTACATATTCTTTGAACTGAATTATACCATAATTTGACAAAAGTGTAAGTTTATCAAGTCTCATGGAAGGTTTCTCTCCACAAAGTCTACCACATTTCTCTCACAATCATCACAAAGTCACCTTATTAACTTCTTAGCACATCTCCAAGGCAACCCTTTCATCCACTGCCAGCCTAATTCTCCCACTTATTGTAGCCAGCAGTATTCATTGCTGCCCAGATATCCCAGGATGTATTGGCAGCCCTGGCACAGATGCCATATTGCACAGTCAAGCACAGGCAGTTCACAGCTGCCCTACACTATTGCAGGCATTCAATCTAGCCATGGAAGAGAAAGGGAAATTAGTGGATATGGTGATACAGAGAGAGGACATCATTTTCCCACAGGATGCTAGAAAAAGCCACAGTACTAGATACTTCCAGCCTGGTTCAAGGCTGTCACCCTGAGCAGTGAGTTGTCCACAGTCAGAGGAATATCACCAACTGTTCTTTTCTGCCTCACACATCAAGTATCTCTGTCACTGCACCCATATCCCACCAAGGCACGTGCTCTACCACTGTCAGTACTGCAAGCATCAACTTCTCTCATCTGCTCCAACCCCTACATCGCCAGCCCCAAACCTAGCACACTAATAACACTGCATGACCTCGGCACTGCATACGTATTGACTCTGGGCACCTCACTGTAGCACGTGTAATGAGGTCAGCCAGGTAGACCTCAGAATATGAGTTGTCAGATTGGACCACATTAACAGCCACAATCAGGGAGCCCTGGCTGACAGAGAAAAAAAGAGAAGGGTCAAACATCCTGTTCACTCTAAGAGCTGGCTCTGAGGAAACTGAACCACTGTCAAGGATTTTCTACGTGTAAATAAAGGATGACTTGGTGATGGGATACCAGCCTCTACAGAGTAATTTCACTCACCAGCTTTCCCCCACTTAACCCAGTACTAACAGCTGTCCCACCCACTTTCATCCCATACAATCCCTTGGTTTTGTTTCCTCAGTCCATGGGAAGACAGCCCAGCATCAGCTGATGTACTGAGAATTGTTGGTATACAGAGGTTACCTGGTCTGGATGAAATGATGAACAGATTACACATATATTGGAGCAGACCTAAAACCTAGATATAAAACAATGAAGAAATCAGACTCCAGAGTTATCTTAAAAAGACCTGCAGCATTTTAAAAACTTGTTATAGAGTATTGATTTTAGCTACAAATTTCAAGTCACAATTGCAGCTGTTATGCTCAGATGCCACCAAAGTGATCTTTAGCCCCAACTCAATGTTTGCTGAACTGTCATAATTATAACTTTTCCTGCGAAATTTCAAGTTTGTGTCTAATACCAGGAGATTATAAACCAGAATGATGCTTATATAGCATTTTAAACAGTAACTGTATATAAAGCAAAGTTCTACTTCATGAAACCAAATTAACACTGAATCTAAAATATGGAACTATGCTACTCACTATTAACATTGGCATGAAAACATCTTGAATCATTTTATTTCAATACCCACCTTAGGTTTCAGTGCTAGGACTTCTGCTGTTTTTGATACATATCGATGACTTGGATATTAATGTTCTGAATATAATTTTGAAATCTGCAGATGTTACAAATAATATGAATGGTAAGACTGATGGAATTCATGAGGACCTTAGGCTGGAGGAATAATGCACAAATGCCAGATGACATTCAATACAGGGGAAGGCAATGACCAAGTAGTATTATTACTAGACTATTAGTACAGAAACCCAGGTAATGTGCTGGGGACCTGGGTTTGAATCCTGACATGGAAAATGGTAGAATTTGAATCCAACAAAAATCTGGAATTAAAAAAAAACCAAATAAATGACCATGAAACCATTGCCAATTTTTGGGGAGTAACTCCCATCTCCTTGACTAATGCTAGCCTACATGTTACTCCAGACCCCCACAGCAATGTGGTTGAATCATAACTGCCCTCTGAGCAATTAGGGATGGGCAAAAAATGCTGGCCTAACCAGTGACACAGCCTGTGAATGTATTTAAATTCGTACAAAGAATGAGGAAAGACAATAGAAGCTGAATGGTATAATTTTAAAGAAAACATGCATCGAGTGATCTGGTTATGCACAAGTCTTTGAAGGTGACAAGACAGATTAATAAAGTACTCAATAAAACAAAAGGGCTTTTGTGATGCAGTGGTAGTGTCCATGCCTCTAAGTCAGCAGGCCAAAGTTCAAGTCTCAACTGCTCCAGAAGTATGTAATAACATCTCCGAACAGGTGAATTAGAAAATAATTTATGGAATCCTGGGCTTTACAAAATGAAACACGGGGCAAGATATCAATTCAAAACTGATCAAAATCAAAAATGTTAAAATCAAGTCCATACAATAGATAAAAACCATTATGCTTTCCTGAACCAATTATAACTCATTCCTTCAATCCCAGCTGCAGAACTGAGCTGAAATCTAATCAATCAGCCTTCTGGAGACTGCCCGGGTGGGTGTGTAAGATGGTGGTGGAAGATATAGAATCATACAGAACAGACGCAGACCTGTCGGTCCCATAGGTGAGGGGGATTGGAGATCTTTCAATTGCCACAGGATATTCCCAAAAGCAGAAGCAATGACTGCACTGCCACCCACCCCCTGGAGGCATTTAGCCAATTAATTCATTTAAGTAGTCAATTCACACCCTTGTTACTACACTGCTGACATTTTGCCTGGTGCGGGGTGGGCCCTGTCAAATAGAGCCACCTCCAGATAAACCATAGCAGTCTCCCAACAAGTTGCCAGCTGGGGGTTGCCCTTCAGTTCCAAGTACGTTAAGGCCCATTCCCCCACATCCCCCAAACCACTGATGGCAATGGCTGTCCTTTTTGCTCACATGCTGCTGCTGGAGGTTTCACACTCCAATCACTTTCCCTTACTTTGCCCCAGAATATTAAAAGAAATCCTTACCTGCCTTTCAAGAGTACCTCAACATACATCACTGGAGATGCCAAGGTCCATCAACCTATCAGTCCACTGATTGGACAACACTGGCAGCAGCTTCTTACCCTGCCAATGCTGGCAAAATCATTCCTGGGATCCTACCATAAACCTGCTCAAGCTTCACAGCTGCTTTCAGTCCTGGCCATGGCACTTCACTTTTGCTAGTAACAGCTCAGCCTTTGATACCAAACTAGGGCTTTACACTTAAGGAACAATGTGCAACTTTGGAAGAGGTGCAGAATAGATTTGCAAGAACAGTTCAGGGGATGAAGGAATACAGTTACATGGTTGGTCTGGAGAAACTGCAATTAGAGCATAAAGGACAAAAGAGAAGATTAAAATCATGAAGGGTTTAAAAGAAACAAATGAAGAGAAATTGTTTCCAAAGCCAAAGGATTGTTAACAAGACAGCAACAGCAGTGATTTAAGGTGAGATGCAAAGAAAAAAGCATGAGTGACATGAGAATAGCTCTTTTACACAATGACTGTATAAAATTGGCAATGTACTGCCCAATGGAGAGGTAGGTATTAATTCAGTAGGAACCTTCAGGAGAGGATTCATGAAAGAGAAAAAAAATACAGGAATACTGGAAACAAGCAAGGGAGCAGTACTAACTGAATTCTTCTTCAAAAGACTCATTGACAAGCAAGGTGTTTTGCATCACGGTGTAACCTTTCAGTTAAATGAATGTATTGAACCAATAAGTACCACCTATTAGTGTCAATTGTTTGAATCATAGTCCTCTATCAAATGGCATTGTTCTTTAATTTTCAACTTCTCTTTTTAAATGTATACTATAGATATGATATACTTATGCTCCTTCGAAGCTCCAAAGTGTATAAACAAATATTTTCCTCCTGCTCCTCATGTACCACTCAAGATCAAAAGTCACAGTTTCCTCTTCCTACTCATTCTTTAAAAGCTTCCCAGAACTGTGGAATTCTTCAGGTCTATCATTTTCTTCCAACTGTCAGATTTAAAGCTGAAAATTGACACCAACTAAATCATTATCTTTTGTTTTAACTTTTCTCTATTTTAAGCTTTCGTGCAAGGTATTTAATTATAGGCTTCACTCTCCATCTTTCAGAAAATAAATTAAATTCCTGTTTATTCAAAAGCCAGAAGGATGATTTCAGCAGATACCAGAAATTGTAGAAACATCTCTTGGAAAGTTCTTGATAATGCTTCTTGATAAAATGTTTCTTTTTAATATAGTCAACAAACATTATGATATTATCAGTTCGAGAGGTGGCATGAATTGATACAAGTGAAGAAAGTATTTTTTTAAACATCACATACTAACCAAATTATCACATTATTATTTGAAGGAGTAGGCAGTGATGTTTCCTGTGAAAGAATTGTTTTAATTATTTACGTTGATAAGTTTATTCACTGCAAGATAACAGTGTCATATGATGATACGAAGGACATCTTTTCCCCAATTCCCCTTTTCATTTAGTGCTAAACTCTTCAATTCTCTTCCTAGCAGCATGTCCAGCCGACAGTGCTATGATTTCTGCCATGGACTGGGGAAACAGACAGGTTCTAAATCTACCCCAGCCAAGTAGGAATTGAAACTCATGTCATTGGTAAATATCCAAACCACACTGGTCAACCAACCAACTAGGTCAACAAACACGCCAAGGAATCCCTGTTGCTATGGCAATATGCACTTTTAAATACACATTGCAGTCTAGAATCATGAATAACGATGGTAGAAGTTCTATTTTTCTTCCTACTACATGGCTGTCAAGGAATCTCTCCGACTCTTAAAGCCTGACATTGGCATACTGGATCTAGAAGTTGATATTCGATTTCTGAATGCATCTTCCTTGGATGCCATGTCCTGGAGTGGGACTTAAACATGGCTCTGGCTTAGAGGCAGGGAGGTGACCACTCAACCACACGAATTCCTTAAAAGTAAAATAATTTCTTTCAAAAATGTAAAATACCTGAATCCTGCTTAGCTTGTGATTTTCAAAATTTGAAATCATGCAGTATTTAGGATGTTGTTATCACAAACAGAGTGGGACTTTTTTTAATAGAACAGTGAGAAATGGAGAAAGTGCCCTATGGGCGGTGATCTGTGACCCCCCTCCCCCGAAAGAAGTTCACATTCTCTTCATACACAGCGAGTTGAGATTTTGCTCACAATATCTGACTTCCTACAGATTACAGGGTGCAAGCTGAAATAATATACTTACAATTTATATCCAGTGAGATGTGACACTTTCAGTGAAAAACCTCCCAATGCAAAATATATTCTTCTTGCATGCTGCCACATTAATTACCCAAGTCAGATCCCAGTACACCAGACTAATCCTCTTCTGCTCACTCTGTGTGTGGAGACCTGCAGAAATATGAATAAATAATGTCTCAGTGGTGAACTGGGTACATCATATCTTATACCAGTGCCTCTGAAAACAAATGGATCTCCTGCCAATAACAATTACTCATTCAGTAAGAGGGTCAAACAAATTCATGTTCTTCACTGATAACACAGACCTGGTGCCAGTGAGTCACAAAAAGAACAATGCAATTGAATGCACAATGTTCACCCGTCTCACAGTTTATATCAAACAATAAAAAAAACTATGCACATAAAAGGCAGAACTTCTAAAGTCAAAAAGCATAGCAGGTCACTACAGTGCCTTTGCAGTCAAACCTCTAAGTCAAAAAAGGTGTAAAACCCAAACTATTGCAGGCTATAGTTAACACATCACATTAATAGGCTACAGGTCAATTTTTGAACTGTAAAAATGTTCATTTTAATCATTTATATTGATTTAGAACATAGACCATAGAACAGTACAGGCCCTTCGGCCCACAATGTTGTGCTGACCTATTATCCTACTAAGATCAATCTACCCTGCATACCCTACATTTTACTATCCTCCATGTACCTATCCAAGAGTTGTTTAAAAGTCTCTAAAGTATCTGACTCCACTACCACTGCCGGCAGCACATTCCACATGCCGATTAATGTAAAAGTCTTAAAATTGGAAGTATTCTTACAAACCCTGCATTAACTTCCTTTGTGCCTTTTACATGCAAAATGGAATGCATATTCCTGGCCTAATGCATTAAATGAGAATTGATTTTATTTCTTTATCAGTCTAATAAAACTAGCTGTTACACACCACTGGAGCAGGTAGGACTTGAATGCAGGCCTCTCCCTCCAGGAGTAGGGACACTACCACTGAACCACAAGATGACCCTCCTCTCAATTACTGATCTATTTTTTTTCCCCAATCAACCTGTTCAGAGATGTTATTACACACCTCTGGAGCAGGTGAGACTTGAACCTGAGTCTCCTGGTCCATGGGTAGGGAACTATCACTGTATCACATGAGGGCCCTTAATTAACCCATTTTTCTTAATCAATCAACCTGTTCAACAATGTTATTACACACCTCTGGAGCAGGTGGGACTTGAACCCAGGCCTCCCTAGTCCAGGCCAGGGAACACTACCACTGCACCACAAGAGGGCCCTCCTTGCAATTGTTCAGTTTAATGGCATTGATGTGTTTCACACATCTTAATTAATTGATTGATGTCTTTATTAATGCCGGCCAATAGATATATTCACGTGCCAACCCCCTGCTTTTTACTGCATCATCTGACCCATGTGTAAATGGTCAAACATGTCTCGATGTAGATCTTGAGGAATAATCACCTGCCTGCCTCTGAAAGTTACATTCCAAAAGAGCCATATTGTCACTGAATGATCAAAAAGAACATGCTTGCTCAGGGACTAGTTGAATGTGTTCAGGCAAAATCGCTGATGATCAGCATCTTAAGTTGTTGCACCTAGATATTGTCAGACATAGCTCGCCGAATCTGCTCTGTTTGGCTATGACCAAAATCAATGAAATCAAGATTAGAGAATTTTTTTGTGTTCTTAGCAGGATTTGGACGAGTGGGTGGAGAGACAGAACAGATGAAATGAATGTAAGGAAAAGATGGTTGGAACAGACGACTAGGTACCTCTTATACAAGACTGTCACATGTCATGATTAGCTCTCAAAGATATAGTTCCTTTCCAAGAACTGTGCAATAATACAACAAAAGTTCAGGCTAAATTCTAGTTCTTTGGTGGAGTGAGGAAGTGCAGTGTTGATTTTGTTGTGGGTAGGGTTGATCAGGAGAGGCAGAGCTGGGTGGGAAACGTTCAAACTGAAAGTTTTTTTTAAAAAAACAACAAACATCTATATTTTTAGAGGCTTTTTGACAGCAGTAATGAGGCCTTTCAGATCTGTCCTTCAGGCCATGTCCACCATTAAACAATGGTGAGGATTTAGAGAGTCACAGAGTTTACTCAGTACAAGCTCCATGGCATCCATTGCTGCTTTGGTGTTTGCAACCCTGAAAGCTCATCAGTTGGATCACAGCACAGTTTGGGAAGCTGCTGCTTTAATTATTGTGTAATTTAGGTTGATTACCAGGCCAGAGCTCTTACTTTAAGGCCATTGCCCTTTCTTGCCAATTTTGTTTTTACCATTCACCCAATACAATAAATATGCAAATGTAAAAATTATCTTTATTGGACTTCTGAACTTGTCAAAGCCATGACATCTTAGGGGAACATTCTGAAAACCTAACTGCTTTGCAGTTTCCTGTCCAGAAATTGAGGGACGATGTGACAAGCCATACATAAAGAAACCAAGGTTCTGGATCTCGGTTTCTTTTTCTCGGTTCCCAAGATAATATTACATTCGTACTAGACCTTGTGAAAGAATTAGGACAAAATTCTTACTTAATAAATTTCCTTTTTGATGTATGTGAAGGGGTCCATTTTCATACTTCAAGATTGCTGTGCTCTAAAATGGTTGGATTTTTAAAAGCAAAATGCACCAAAATAACAAGCACTACAGATTCCAGCCACCTGAAGTAATTTGTTTTGTTGGAGTGTGTCTAATTTCATAAATCGTCAGGTGTATCTACTGTTGAAATACAATATAGATAGTGTCTTTGCTATGAATAGCTGCTGGTAAATATAAGAAAATACGAATTAGGACCTAGAGCCCCTCAGCCCCTCAATCCTGCTCCACCATTTGACAAGAACATACTTGGTCCAAATATGGCCTCAAAGCTAGCTTACTACCTACCGCTAAACTACAAGACATCAATCAAGAATTTAACTGATTAGATAACTCCTTCATTCCAAGAATCAGCCAAGTGAATGTATCTGCACTGTTTTTAATGCAATTAAGTTCAATCTTAACTAAGGAGACTAATGCTGTACGCAGTACTCCAGATATGGTCTCACCAATGCCCTGTACAATTGCATTTGTCACAGGTAGATTGGTGAAGACAAAATCAAGTAGATTTTTCTTTCTTGTTGATTTCCTCACCTGTTGCCCTGTACAAATGTAGCAAAACCTCTTTATATTCATATTCCATTCTTCTTGCGAAACCTACATACTAAGATTTTGAGTTTAACATGCTCGTGCACTCAAATCCCTATGTTATTTTCTTATTTTTGCATGATTTTGCACAACTGGTGTCCAATGCAGCATGATGTAGCCCTACTTTTTTTTCAATCGATAAATCAATATGTAAAATAGAAGTAATTGATTTAACTTGCAAAATTTACTTACAATTCCTGGACAGAAGCTAAAGGGGAAAGGCAGCTTGGAAACTTTCTTACAGACAATGTTCCAGACACCACCACATATCCCTGAGTATGTCCAGCATAGACCCACCCAAGGTGACAGCACAGTGTATGTCAGTAGGCAGTCGTCCTGGGAGTTCTCACAACTTCATAAAGTCTCATAGCATCAGGGTCAAACATGGGAAAGGAGACCTTCTGCTGATTACTACCTACACCCTGCTTCCAAATCAGTATTCCTCTGTTTTGAACAGCTCTGAGGGTGGTAAGGGCACAGATTGTACTCTGGTGGGGAACTTCAAAGTCCATCACCAACATTACTGACCGACTTGACTGAGTCTTAAACAATACACAGCAGCTGTGTAAAAGAGAGAAAAATCTACTTAATGTTGCCTTCACCAATCTGCCTGTGACAAATGCAATTGTCCAGATAACATTAGTACGTCAATTATAAGAAAAATGTCAGGAACAGAAACAATGGCTTTACATTCCAGCAAGATGGTGGAGGAGTAGAACACTCCAGCCAGCGCTCCTCTGCTCCGCCTGTTCTGCTTCTTCTTTTTCCTCCCTCTCTCATCCCTTCTCTCAGTCTCAGATACCTGGTGGCAGCCCCGGCCTCCGACTCCTGGCCTCCGAAGTGGGGTAGGAGTTCGGTCAACCTCCAGCTAAAGTCCCCAGCATTACTGCTGAGTCTTCAACTAATTCAGAACAATACTGCCAACCCTTCACTATCACTGAGTCAAAATCATAGAACTTCAATTCCTGATGTCACAGAGTGTAACAACTCCATGTACACAATTTATTGCATTTCAGGAAGGTGGCACACCACCATCTTCTCAAAGGCAATTAAGTACTGATGAAAAAAATGCTGACGTTCACATCCAATGAAATAATGAAAGAGAAGTGTCTTCCCCATCTCAAATGTCTTGTGTAACCTCTGTCTTCCACATCCATTCCAGCAGCTCTTTAATGTCTGGAATTCCCTATCCCAGAGAGTTGTGGAAGTTAGATCAATGAAGGAAGTAGGTAGGTAGGTTTTTGCATTATCAGTGAGTGGAGGGCTACGCAGAGCTGGAGCAATAGATGAATTGACACCAGGAGTAGATCTATCTTATAGATTGAGGGCAGGCTTGAGGAGCAGAATGGCCCACCCCTGCTCCTATTTATTATGTTCTGATGAAACAGATCTTACTTCCAGATCAAACCCTCCCTGTCACCTGATAGTGACAAAGCCTTTTTCAAAGTTCATCTTTATCCCTTCATTTTCCAAACCATTACCTAACTTTGAAACCTGTCTGGCAGTTCTGAGGTTTACACTTAACTTTTAATTAATGTATGTTTCCTTAATAGTTTCAAGAGTTACTTTAATGAAATTCTATCGAGTGCTTCTTTTGAAATCTCTTTACCTTCATACTGAAAAGATGAAAAATTAATGTGTACACTGAGGATCTGATCCCTTGTCCTCATCAGTTTTGTTTTATCACATCTGTGAATTTAGTTTTCTGGTTGCTAAGTTACTAAGATGCTAGACTATTTGTCAAATTAATTGGTAAAGATGTAATCTGTTTCAAATCATTGAAGATCCATGCTTTAAAGTGCGGTAATATATATGTTCCAGTGATATGTGACGCACTGTAACTAATGTAATTAAATGTGAGCAATGAGTAAATCAACTATTTAAGGCACTACCTGACAGTGATTTGTAATGATTTTCTCAATTCAAATCAGCAGGGAAGTTTATCTTTAAGTATTTTTCTCATACAGTAGAAGTATTTAGGGCTGCACAGTGGTTAGCACTGCCTCACAGCAACAGGGACCTGGGTTCATTTCCACTCTCAGATGACTGTGTGGAGTTTGCACATTCTTCCTGTGTCTGTGCGGGTTTCCTTCGGGTACTCCAGTTCAAATATGTGCAGGTTGGGTGGATTGGCCATACGAAATTGCACTTAGTGTCCAGGGATGTGCTGGCTAGGTAGATTAGCAATGGGAAATGCAGGATCACAGGGATAGGGGTGGGTCTTGGTGGGATGCTCTTCAGGGGTTTAAGTGGACTTGGTGGGCCAAATGGCTTTCTTTAACACTGTAGGGATTCTATTATTGAAAATAGCAGATGGATGTTTTGCAATGAATCTTAAACTGTAAGAGCAAACAAATGGTACTTATTTGCAAAACTAATCACTCAATTTCAATCTTACAAGAAGAGCTAATATCTTCCAAATAATATACTACACAGAGGATTTGTACTACCTGAAAAAAATCAATTACCACTTAATTCCATGCTATCTTTACTTTAATTGCTTCAAGTAATTTGCAATTTTGTATCCATCCTTAAGTCTTTGATTTTTTAATAAAAAAAACAAAAACGTAAGCAAAATATTCCACTAAACCAATTCCAAACCTACTCGTATATAGGTCAACGCTGCCCAATGCACTTGCAGATTAATGAGATGACAGAGATGTAATTTATTTATGAGTCTAAGTACCTTCCTGGGAATACTTCCATGCAGTGGTATTTGTTCCCTCCTAGTAAACATACCTGTTAATGAAATGAAACATAAATATATTTGATTGTTAATGTACTAAGAGGATTTTCTGGAAATGTTGTATTTTCTACTTGTGCATTAAACAGCAAAGAATCAGTCAACTCATACATTGAATGGTATC